TCGTAGCATGTAAGCTGGTTAGAGCTAAAAACTTGAAATTTGGAATGCAAATTAAGGTTGAGAAGCAGGGTCGATATAAGGTCGACACGCTGGCTTTGGAAGCGTGTATTTATGTATACGAAAAGTACTATATGGTACTATATTCGGTACAAATTTAATTTGGAGTTACACATCGAGTTGGAATCCTGAAAATTTAAATTAACATTACAGTCGAAGTGTTGGATTGGGATATATACGTAGTTTTGGATATTTTTTACTTATGTGTACGAAAAGTACTAAATCGTACTATAATTGGTACAATTTGGATTTGGGTGAACCGGTAGACCTAGAACAACCATGCAGTTTGGAGCCAGGATCACTGTTGGGGTGTAGGATTATGGTATGTAGATAATTTTGAAAATTCGTACTAATGTGTACTATATGGTACCAAATTTGGATTTTGGGTGAACCGATGGAGCTGGAAGCTTTACATTTGGAGTTAGGATCATTGTTGGGGTAGAGTTGAGCTACATACGTAGTTTTTTACATATGTGTATGAAAATTCGTACTAATGTGTACTATATACAATTTAAATTTTGGATGAACCGATGCGATGAAGTTTTGGAAATTTGTACCAAATGCGGGTTTGAGTGAATCGATTGAGCTGGAATTTTGAAATTTGACGTTCGGATCACTTTTGGGGTGTAGGATTAGACTATGTGGAAAGTTTTGGAAATTCGTACTATTGTGTACTAAATTTGGTACAATTTAACATTTAAGTAAATCAATTGATCTGGAAAACTTGAAATTTGGAAATTAGGTTACTGTTAGAGTGTAGGATTGGGGTATGGATGTAGTTTTGGAAATTCATACGTATGGCTACTAAGTTGTACTAAATTTGGTACAATTTGAATTTTGTGTGAACTGATAGAGCTGGAATCCTGCAATTTGGAGTTACGATCTTTGTTGGTAGTATTGAGTATTGAGCTATGTAGAAAGATTTGTAAATTCGTACTAATGTGTACTAAATGGTACCAAATTTGTATTTGGGTGAACCGATAGAGCTGGAATCTGGAAATAAGGTTACTGTTGCAGTGTAGGATTGGGCTTTGTAAAAAGTTTTGGAAATTCCTGTTAAAGTGTACTAAATTTTGTACAATTTAAATTTTGGGCGAACCAATACAGCTGGAATCCTGAAAATTGGAGTTAGGGTTACATTTGGGGTGTAGGAAGTTTTGGAAATTTGTACTAATGTGTACAAAATAGTACCAAATGTGGATTTGAGTGTACCGATAGAGCTAGAATCTTGAAATTTGAAGTTAGGATTATTGTTGGGGTGTAGGATTGGGCTATGTTGGAAGTTTTGGAAATGTCTTCTGCTGTGTACTAAATGGTAGCGGGTATATGCTAGATAACAAAATATTTTTTAATGGGTATTGAGATGTGGATTTTTTTAAATATTTGTTAACTATTTCCTAGACCCCACGCATCTCCATGCATATCAATATCCCATTTAACGCAAACGATTTGTGACTGTGTCTATTTATTTTTTTATTTTACGCGAGACACCCACAGGACTGAATGACTGTCTGACACAAACAAACAGACAAATACACGCATAAAAGATTTCTCAAGTGTATGGTCACATTTACACTTAAATAAACATAACTATAGACACACACACACACATAAACTGCCACGTACTCCCCTCACGCACACTTGGGCGCCATCCATGTAAGTAAATTGAATTGTGTGACGACGAAATGGAGATGGGTCATTTTGGTTGTGAAATTGATAGTTGTGACAGTTTGTTTACTCTCACTCTTTACTTGGATGTTGTCTGTGGATCTGCCGCTGTGACACACGGGCTCACTGGATGTCACTCGGTGTGTGTGTATGTGCGTGTCATATAAAGAAGTCATTTACATAAAGTGGCAAATCGGCATACAAGTCGAATGTGAGAGCTTCAAACGAATCGGTATGAATCGCTGTGGGTGGTATACACACGCTTTCACTTGTCCATAGGTATTCAGGAGGTGTAGAATTTGCTGTCACTTGGCTGTTGTTGTTGTTTTTGGTCAAAGAAGGAACACATGAGGAAATGGCTCATTTGATGTTTGACATGTTTCAGTGTAACAGAAAAAAATAATGCTCATCAAAGGGAGTTAAACAAGTATTTTTAATAAATCCGTTTCTCTCCTGAAAAACATATTTTAATAGATTTACACCTATGTGGCTATTCGGAAAATATTTTTTAATAAATCCACGCTTCTACGGCTACCCTGAAAATATTTTTTAATAAATCCAGTCCTCTTTGGATAATGTGTGAGAAATATATTTTTAATAAATCCAGGACTCACTTTTGTTGCTTTGATTTTCATTTTTAAATCCCAAATTTATGTCCTGCATCCTTTGCCCACATCGACAATAGTTATTTACATACACATGCATAACAATTGTCTATTTACATATAAATAAATATTTAACATAGTTTTGTGTTATTTGAGGTACGCGTGTATGTGTGTGTGTGTGTTTATTTGCCTGGCAATGTTAAATAACATTTGGCATGTCCTTGCTAAAAGTGTGTAAATGTTTGTGTATGAGTGGTTTTTATACCCTTCACCACAGTGTGGTACAGGGTATAATGTCTTTGTACATATGTTTGTAACATGCAGAAATAATCGAGATAGACCCATGGTTCCTTTTGAGAATATGCATAGAATCACTTTCTGAGTCGATTTATGCAGGTCCGTCTGTCCGTCCGTCCATGTATTTTTGTTAACAAAGTTCAGGACGCATTTATTATCCGATTTGGATGAAATTTGGCACAGGTCACTTAATTGGCCCAAGGACGAACCCTATTGAAAATGGGAAAAATCGGTTCAGATTTAGATATAGCCCCATATATATTTTCGTCCGATTTAAGGTAAATGGTGTACCAAAGTCGCTATATATCTTTCGATTTGCACGAAATTTGGCATAGAGTCCTCAATTATGTCTACAATGATGTGTGCCAAGTTTCGAGAAAATCGGTTCAGATTTAGATATAGCTCCCATATATAGTTTCGTCCGATTTAAGGTAAATGGTGCACCAAAGTCCCTATATATCTTTCGATTTGCACGAAATTTGGCACAACGTACTGAATTGAGCCTAAATTGATGTCTGCCAAGTTTCGAGAAAATCGGTCCAGATTTAGATATAGCTCCCATATATAGTTTCTTCCAATTTCATGTAAATGGTGCACCAAAGTCCCTATATATCTTTCGATTTGCACGAAATTTGGCATAGAGTCCTGAATTAGGTCTACAATGATGTGTGCTAAGTTTCAAGAAAATCGGGTCAGATTTAGATATAGCTCCCATATATATTTTCGTCCGATTTAAGGTAAATGGTGCACCAAAGCCCCTATATATCTTTCGATTTGCACGAAATTTGGCACAGCGTACTGAATTAGGTATACAATGATGTGTGCTAAGTTTCAAGAAAATCGGGTCAGATTTAGATATAGCTCCCATATATAGTTTCGTCCAATTTAAGGTAAATGGTGCACCAAAGTCCCTATATATCTTTCGATTTGCACGAAATTTGGCACAGCGTACTGAATTAGGTATACAATGATGTGTGCCAAGTTTCGCGAAAATCGGTTCAGATTTAGATATAGCTCCCATATATAGTTTCGTCCGATTTAAGGTAAATGGTGCACCAAAGTCCCTATATATCTTTCGATTTGCACGAAATTTGGCATAGAGTCCTGAATTAGGTCTACATTGATGTGTGCTAAGTTTCAAGAAAATCGGGTCAGATTTAGATATAGCTCCCATATATAGTTTCGTCCGATTTAAGGCAAATGGTGCACTAAAGTCCCTATATATCTTTCGATTTGCACGAAATTTGGCATAGAGTACTGAATTAGGTCCTGAATGATTTGTGCCAAGTTTCAAGAAAATCGGGTCAGATTTAGATATAGCTCCCATATATAGTTTCGTCCGATCTGAGGTAAATGGGGCTCCAAAGTGCCTATATAACTTTCGATTTGCACGAAATTTGGCATGGGTTACTAAATTAGGTTCTGAATGATTTGTGCCAAGTTTCGTAAAAATCGGTTCAGATTTAGATATAGCTTCAATATATATTTTCGACCAATTTAATTCAAATTGTGCACCCAAAGATTGGCCGGTCGGCACACAATTTAGTACAATGTACTGTTACTATAACCGTTCGTGTGTCATGTTTTCTTGAAATTGGTTCAGATTTACATATACCTTCTATATATATTTTCGTCCGATTTTAAGTAAATGATACACTAAAGGCCCATACACGTACAGAAATTAATAAAAATTAATATCTAGCAAGTTTCCTTGAAATCGGTTCAGATTAGCTTCCATACATAATTTCGACGTATTCATGTCGACTGTACACCAAATAATCAATGGGCGCTTGATAGATACATTTTAAACAGTGCGTGTACTTTAAATCTATTTACACAATTTAGAATAGGTTGCAGAATGGCATGTGTTAGAATTGATGTTAGTCGGTTTACTTATAGATAAAAATCGCATATTTAAGTTCAGTCAATTTTATGCCAATGTTCCTTAGAAAAGGCGACGTCTGTTAGGATACATATGTAGAATATCCCCAAAGTGGTGAAGGGTAAAATATAGTCGGCCCAGTCCGACTTTACTATTTTCCTTACTGGTTGTTGTTGTTATTTTTCGGTTTTTAATTTGTGGTTGTGAAGGTAACCAAATCGGAAGTCCTGTACATCTACACACAAACACTCACGTCACTGAGTAGTAGACGTCCAGCTTTTGTAATTTGAGATTTTTTTTTTTGGAAAAAAGGATAAATGCCCTTGCGGTATTAAAAAAAACGTATAAAAAGATTCCAATCACCACCTTTCGTACTTCGAAGTTCCATAAATAGACAAGGATATTTCAACACAATATCATTTTTTTTATTTTAAAAAATCGATAAATAAATAATATGCTAAAAATTACAAATACAACAAAAAATAACAATATCAATATGTCCATTGTTCCAATAGCAACGGTAAATTCATAACAAATAAAAATATTAAAAATCCCAACAGGGCCAATAATCCAAGAATTAGAAAATATTTCAGAAAATTCGGTGCGATTATACGTTTCAAACCTTTCCAGGGATTTGTTAGGGGATTGAAGGAGGTTGGAGGACGTCTGTAACAAAAAAAAATTATTAAAAAAATTAAGGATGCTGCAGGACCCTTGAAAAATATTTTTAAACAAATCTACTCCTGGGCTGGACTCTTGAAATAATCTACGATTTTTAGGACCCTTGGAATAAGAGGAATAAGTCTCCTTTCCATCGCATATAAAGTGCTATCTAGCGTACTGTGTGCACGACTGAAGCCAATGGTCAATGACATTATTGGACCATACCTATGTGGCTTCAGACCTGGCCAGATTTTCACTCTGCGCCAAATCCTGGAAAAAAACACACGAAAAACACATCGACACATTCCACCTATTCGTCGACTATAAAGCCGCATTCGACAGCCCTATCCGTTCAGAGGTGTAGAAAACCATGTCTGCGTTTGGCATTCCTGCAAAATTAATTCGGCTATGCAGGATAACTTTAACTGGCACAAAATCAGCAGTTAAAGTCGGTAAGGACCTCTCGGAGCCCTTTAATACCGAACGAGGATTCAGACCAGGTGACAGTTTGTCGTGTGACTTTTTAACATCCTGCTGGAAAAGTTCATACGAGAGGCAAAAGTGAACAGGAATGACACTCTGTACACCAAACAACACATGTTACTCGCCTAAGCCGATGACATCGACATAATGGGTAGAACATTGAGAGCGGTAACAGCCACCTTTGAACAAATTGAGAAGGAGCTGCCAAAGTGGGTCTGGCAGTAATCGGCGAGAAGACCAAGCTGATGGTATCAACGCGCAAAGACGTCCAGTAGACTCGGACCTATGGAACTTGATAACTACAGCTTCGATGTAGTCGAAGATTTTATATACCTTGGTACCGCCATAAATAAAACGAATGACATCAGTTTTGAAATTCGAAGAAGGATAGTGATGACCAACATATGCTACTACGGTCTGAGCAAACAACTCAAAAGCAAGGCCACCTCCCGCCAGACCAAACTCACAAGCTACAAGACGTTGATACTACCCGTGCTGTTATATGGTTCTGAAGCATGGGTACTTACACAATCAGATGAGACAGCTCTTGGAGTATTTGAAAGAAAAATTCTCCGAAAGATCTATGGACCGATCTGCGTTGACGGTGAATATCGCCGTCGAATGAACCATGAGTTGTACCAGCTATTCTCGGACATCGACATTGTTAGACGTATTGAGCTGAAGCGACTACGTTGGCTAGGTAATGTTGTGGGAATGAATGAAGATGCCCCAGCCCAGAAGGCATATAAAAGCGAACCAGCTGATGGTTCACGCAGAAGGGGAAGGCCACCAATACGATGGAAAGATCAAGTAGAAGACAACATTGCCGAAAATGGTCTTTCAAATTGGAAAAAACTGCGCAAAAGACCGACGCGCCTGGAAATCTTTTCTAAGCTCGGCTTATGGAACGAAAGTTCTGTCACAAGTCAGCTAAAGAAAAAAAGTCAGGACACTTGAAAAATATGGTTTAAGAAATCTACGCCTGTGCCGGACACTTGAAAAATGTATTTTAATAAATCTTCCCCTTTTGGAACCTTTGAAGATATTTTTTTAAGAAATCTACGCCTGGGCAGGATCCTCGAAAAATATTTTTTTAATGAATGTTCTCCTTTTGGACCCCTTAAAGATATTTTTTTTAATAAATCCACTCCTTCTTTTTGAACCTTGAAAAATTATTTTTAAAAAATCCACGCCTTCTTTGGGACCCTTTTAATAAATCCACGCCTTCTTTGGGACCCTATTAATAAATCCACGCCTTCTTTGGGACCCTATTAATAAATCCACGCCTTCTTTGGGACCCAGTTAAAAAATCCACGCCTTCTTTGGGACCCTGTTAAAAAATCCACGCCTTCTTTGGGACCCTGTTAAAAAATCCACGCCTTCTTTGGGACCCAGTTAAAAAATCCACGCCTTCTTTGGGGCCCTATTAATAAATCCACGCCTTCTTTGGGACCCATTAATAAATACACGCCTTCTTTGGGACCATGTTAAAAAATCCACGCCTTCTTTGGGACCCAGTTAAAAAATCCACGCCTTCTTTGGGACCCTATTAATAAATCCACGCCTTCTTTGGGACCCTATTAATAAATCCACGCCTTCTTTGGGACCATGTTAAAAAATCCACGCCTTCTTTGGGACTCTGTTAAAAAATCCACGCCTTCTTTGGGACCCAGTTAAAAAATCCACGCCTTCTTTGGGACCCAGTTAAAAAATCCACGCCTTCTTTGGGACCCTATTAATAAATCCACGACTTCTTTGGGACCCTATTAATAAATCCACGCCTTCTTTGGGACCCTATTAATAAATCCACGCCTTCTTTGGGACCCTATTAATAAATCCACGCCTTCTTTGGGACCCTATTAATAAATCCACGCCTTCTTTGGGGCCCTATTAATAAATCCACGCCTTCTTTGGGACCCTATTAATAAATCCAGGCCTTCTTTGGGACCCTGTTAAAAAATCCACGCCTTCTTTGGGACCCTGTTAAAAAATCCACGCCTTCTTTGGGACCCTGTTAAAAAATCCACGCCTTCTTTGGGACCCAGTTAAAAAATCCACGCCTTCTTTGGGACCCTTTTAATAAATCCACGCCTTCTTTGGGACCCTATTAATAAATCCACGCCTTCTTTGGGACCCTGTTAAAAAATCCACGCCTTCTTTGGGACCCTGTTAAAAAATCCACGCCTTCTTTGGGACCCAGTTAAAAAATCCACGCCTTCTTTGGGACCCTTTTAATAAATCCACGACTTCTTTGGGAGCCTTTTAATAAATCCACGACTTCTTTGGGACCCTTTTAATAAATCCACGCCTTCTTTGGGACCCTTTTAATAAATCCACGCCTTCTTTGGGACCCTATTAATAAATCCACGCCTTCTTAATAAAATCCACGCCTTCTTTGGGACCCTTTTAATAAATCCACGACTTCTTTGGGAGCCTTTTAATAAATCCACGACTTCTTTGGGACCCTTTTAATAAATCCACGCCTTCTTTGGGATCCTTTTAATAAATCCACGCCTTCTTTGGGACCCTATTAATAAATCCACGCCTTCTTTGGGACCCTATTAATAAATCCACGCCTTCTTTGGGACCTGTTAAAAAATCCACGCCTTCTTTGGGACCCTGTTAAAAAATCCACGCCTTCTTTGGGACCCTATTAATAAATCCACGCCTTCTTTGGGACCCTATTAATAAATCCACGCCTTCTTTGGGACCCTATTAATAAATCCACGCCTTCTTTGGGACCCTTTTAATAAATCCACGACTTCTTTGGGAGCCTTTTAATAAATCCACGACTTCTTTGGGACCCTTTTAATAAATCCACGCCTTCTTTGGGACCCTTTTAATAAATCCACGCCTTCTTTGGGACCCTTTTAATAAATCCACGACTTCTTTGGGACCCTTGAAAAATATTTTTTTAATAACTCCACGCCAGGGACACTTGAAAAATATCATTTAATAAATCCACTTCTGTATGGTACCCTTAATAATATTTTTTGAACCAGCCTCTAGTGGTTCCCCTAAAAATATATATTTTCCTATGTCCCCTTTTTTCTCACCTTGGTTCTGGCAAAGCATTTGGTGGATTCCTACCCAATCCCGCTGGATACAGGGCTGCCTCCTTCTCCGTCAATAGTTCCAATTCCATTTCAATTTTCCCCGCCATACCCAATTTATTGCCCATGTCGGGAATATTTCCTCGTACAGGAAACCAGCCACGAATTTTCTTTTCACGAAAAAGATTCACAAATTTCACTCCCCCAGCTGCACACGCTTTGGCTCCCCGCTGAGTGATGTCAATCCGATTTTCCTCTGTGATTAATTGACATTTCTTGGCCGTCTCAAAAGGTTGAGGAAAATTCGACAGATTTATTTCCAGGGAGCCAAGAAAATCATCCTGTGAGATAATATCATCGTCCCAGATTTGCAGATAGAGTTTGGGTGGTTGTTTGCTGTGGTATTCCTCCATGAGACCGGTTTTGCGTTTGACCAGCATCTGCAAGGACCAAAGAGGGGAGACAGAGAGGGTGAGAAGAGAGTACAAATGATGGCTGTGTAATAAACACCAATTCATAATCAGTTTCATTTATATGTGCATATATACATATGCAGGTGTGTAAGTGTGTGTGTGGCAATAAATATAATAATGTGATAATGTCCTGGGAACCATGACCGGGGTATAGGTTGTCCTTTGAGTTGGCTGGTCAAAGCTCTCATTAATTCTAATGAGGATTTATGCTTACCTTTGCCAGCCAAGGAAAAATGAAATATAAAATCCATATTTGTTAGGAAACCAGGAACATATCCTTGTCAGGACAACAAGGATAACAATGTCGAATTTTTAAAGAATTTTTTGTTTCATTTTAATTATTGAAAATATTTGCCATTTGATATTTTTCGTAACAAGCCTAGCACTAATTATCACTTGGTCTGCTTTAGAGCTAGCATCAACCTTTGACCTGCCAAGGAATATCCCGAAACATCTATCATTTTTGGCGGTCACACAATTAAATTTAATTAGAGCTCATTATTATTTCTTTTTTAATTTCATATCCGAAGAAAAATTTCTCCGTTGGAGGACCATCTCAATACTTACCCTATCCTCAATGCTGGAGTATTTCAAGGGAAATATCATGCGCCAATTAAATTTACCCTCACCATTCAGCGAACGGTAATGGATATCTGTGGTCTGGGCCTGATCAGGATTAGAACACCAACTAACAAAAATAATAAAAAAGGGAACAATGAAATACAGCAGACAAAAAAACAAAAAAAAATATTTAAAACTAAATCTGAAATCAATCTGGCAAGGAATTAAAAAAAAAATATCGCAAGAGGCCAGAAATACATCGGAATGACCTTATGGGTAAGTCCATAAGGTCATGCAATGCTTAAAATAAAAACCAGTAAGGAAAGTAGTAAAGTCGGACGGGGCCGACTATATGATACCCTTCACCACTTTGGGTATATTCAACAGATGACTTCTAACAGACGTCGCATTTTTAAAGGACCAGTAAAATGAAATTGGATCCATAAACATGGATAGGATCTATATCTAAATCCGAACCGATTTTCAGGAAACTTAACATACATCATTCTAGACCTAATTCATTACACTGTGCCAAATTTCGTGCAAATCGAAAGATATATAGGGACTTTGGTACACCATTTACATTAAATCGGACGAAAATATATATGGGAGTTATATCTGACACACATCATTCTAGACCTAATGCATTACCGATTTTCAGGAAACTTAACCCACATCATTCTAGACCTAATGCATTACGCTGTGCCAAATTTCGTGAAAATCGAGAGATATATAGGGATTTCAATGCACCATTTACATTAAATCGGACGAAAATATATATATATGGGAGCTATATCTAAATCTGAACCGTTTTTCTCCAAACTTAGCACAAATCATTCCAAACTTAATTCTTTACGCTGTGCCAAATTTCGTGCAAATCGAAAGATATATAGGAACTTTGTTACACCATTTACCTTACATCGGACGAAAATATATATGGGAGCTATATCTAAATCTGAATCGATTTTCGGAAAACTTAACACACATCATTCTAGACCTAATTCATTACGCTGTGCCAAATTTCGTGCAAATCGAAAGATATATAGGGACTTTGGTGGACCATTTGCATTAAATCGGACGAAAATATATATGAGAGCTATATCTAAATCTGAATCGATTTTCGGGAAACTTAACACACATCATTCTAGGCCTTATTCATTACGCTGTGCCAAATTTCGTGCTAATCGAAAGATGTATCGGGACTTTGGTATACCTTTTGCCTTAGATCGGACGAAAATATATATGGGAGCTATATCCAAATCTGACCCGATTTTCAGGAAACTTAACACACATCATTCTAAACCTAATTCTTTACGCTGTGCCAAATTTCGTGTAAATCGAAAGATATATAGGGACTTTCTTGCACCATTTACATTAAATCGGAAGAAAATATATATGGGAGCTATATCTAAATCTGAACCGATTTTCACAAAAATGAACACACTTCATTCTAGACCTAACTCATTACTCTGTGCCAAATTTCGTACAAATCGAACGATATATAGGGACTTTGGTGCACCATTTACCTTAAATCGGACGAATATATATATGGGAGCTATATCAAAATCTGAACCGATTTTCAGGAAACTTAACACACATCATTCTAGACCTAATGCATTACGCTGTGCCAAATTTCGTGCAAATCGAAAGATATATAGGGACCGTTTACATCGAATCGGAGGGAAATATATATGGGAGCTATATCAAAATCTGAACCGATTTTTCCCAATTACAATAGGGTTCGTCCTTGGGTCAAATAAGTGACCTATGCCAAATTTCATCCAAATCGGATCATAAATGCGAACTGTACTTTGTTTACAATTTAACATTGACAGGCAGACGGACGGACGGAGGCGTGGAGGTCCAAAGGCGTGGATTTATTAAGACATATTTTTCAAGGGGTCTATAGAGGCGTAGATTTATTAAGACATATTTTTCAAGGGGTCTATAGAGGCGTGGATTTATTAAGACATATTTTTCAAGGGGTCTATAGAGGCGTGGATTTATTAAGACATATTTTTCAAGGGGTCTATAGAGGCGTGGATTTATTAAGACATATTTTTCATGGGGTCTATAGAGGCGTGGATTTATTAAGACATATTTTTCAAGGGGTCTATAGAGGCGTGGATTTATTAAGACATATTTTTCAAGGGGTCTATAGAGGCGTGGATTTATTAAGACATATTTTTCAAGGGCTTTTTTTTAATGGACCATAACCCAAGATTTTCATAGAAATTTTTTTAAATTTTTTATGGACGCACCCATATACTATTTCAATTTTAAAATAATTGGGCCATTAGTTAGCATTTGATTGTTAGTTGCTGGGTTAATCTGAGGCATATTAATTTCTCTGCTCATATTTAGAGTGGCCAGACATAAAAAAGAAAACAATCACCCCCAGCCCCTTTATATTCTCTTACCCTTATTTGTATCCCTAACTTACCCCTTGACATAGATATCACTCATGGCATTGCCGAAAATATTTCGTTCATCCAGCACCACATCGCTGACACTGAAAATAACGAGGCGTAATTCAAATAGCTCCGGTGGCTGAGGTGTAATATCGATGACCGGTGGTAAATTCAGATTGCCATCGAACAATTCCAGCCACAATTGGATTTTACCCTGCCGAAAAGAAGAAGAAGGAGAGCGCGAAGAAAATAATTGGTTTACATTTCAAATCAAATATTTAGATTTTTTTTTTTTTGGGAAATGTAGCCGAAGATAAATGCCGATAATTGATACTTTTTTATAGAGTGCTTGTTTATGTGTTGGTGTACAGGTGCCAGATTACCTGTTCAATTCCAGGACATTCACTGCGATATAAGGAACGTGTCTCCACGTGTTCGGGTATTAATTTGTAACCAAATGATGGTAGGGTTTGGAGATTTTTCAATGCCGTCAAAGCCAAACGTTCGCGAGGATCTTCATCTAAAGGAATGTTTTTTTTTAGAAAAAAAATATCTAAAATTCAGGAGATTTTTACCTAAGGCTAAAATGGTTTCATCCTCAAAGGACACACCATCAACTTCTATTCTATTGTCCTTATAGCGGGGTAATTTTATGTCATTTTTCTTACAAAGGTCCTCTAGGATTTCCCTGGGAGTCTGGGAATCTCTCCATTTATTATAGCCAATACTAGGGAAGGGGGAGGGTGGGTATAATAGGGGCGATAATAAAATGTATATTCTTGAAGTACTTTAAAATATAGATGTGTTTTTACCTTGAAAATTCATTGGCAATGCCCACTGTGGCTCGATGCCTGCTACGCCATCTGTCTTCCAAATCAATGGAGGTAGAGCCAATGGGTTCATCGCGTAAACTGTGGCGATTGAATATCGACACATCCAATATATGTTCCCTGGAAAGAAATGGAATTTATTTAAAACAAATTTGAAGGATACGCGGAGGAGAGGATTTTTGTTTTAAATATTTTAAAGCATACACTTAGGCGTCATATTAAAAAAAAAAGTATTTTTATATAGCATACTCTGAGGGATGGATTAACAAAAATATATTTTACAAATGCTATACTGAAGCGTTGAATTATTTTTCAAAGCCTACATTGAGGCGTGTATTTTTTTTAATTATTTTTCAAAGCCTACATTGAGGCGTGGATTTTTTTTTTAATTTATTTTTTTAAAGCCTACTTTGAGGCATGGATTTTTTTAATTATTTTTCAAAGCCTACATTGAGGCGTGGATTTTTTTAAATTATTTTTCAAAGCCTACATTGAGGCGTGGATATTAAGAAAAACACATTTTTCAAAGCCTACATTGAGGCGTGGATATTAAGAAAAACACATTTTTCAAAGCCTACATTGAGGCGTGGATATTTTAAAAAATTATTGTTATAGAGAAAAAATAGTCTGTTATTTACCTTGGCAATAGACCCTCCAATTGAAAACATTTTCCAAATATCGGATTACTTTCGTTTGGCACAAATTCGGCACGATTGGAAATTTGTGTACGGCCCCATTGAACCCGAACATAGGCATCAGCCTGGGCATGTTTTTCTCCGGGACGCAACTGTAAACCTTGTACAACATATACCCGAACGACAACCTTTACCAAATCCGCTAGCGACTGCAATTGCATCTGATAGCGGGGATTCAAGGCAGTGGCTAAGGGTTTCAGTAAATAACCTTCCAACCTTTCCATTCCACCTCCCCGACACTGACATGCTGTCACTTTGATTTTCATTTTCAAGGTGGCATAAATTTCTTCCTTGGTCAGGGGATTATTGTTACTTCTCACACCATGTACCAATTGAAAGGTTTCCGACCAATCTCTGAGATAACTAAATTCCGATTGTTTTTCCAACTCATTCGGATAGATACACAGACGGTGTTTGAAACGAGATACGGCGCTACAGGATTCTTCAACATTTATGGAATTATAAAATTTAGTCCACCAATTGAACTGCCTTTCATCCTCGAGATTCTGAGGTTCTCCAGTTATTTTCTGGGGAGATTTTTTATGGAATATACCTCTCCATGGGGATTTTTTGGGAGATTTCTTTAAAAGTGGCATCGATTCTGATTCCACATCTGTGGTCAGGTGTAATGTGGTGTTTGTTTCCGCATTTGACAGTTCGTCATCATCTTCTCGAGGAACACACTTGATATCCTTGTGTAGTTCCAAATAACGCTTGGCATTCGATATTAGAACTGCCCCCACAGTGGTTTCCTGTTCTTTGGCAGAAATCACCACATCTGTGGCAATAATTGCCGGCCAATATTCTAATTGTTCGGGCAGGCTCTGTAAAGGTGAAATATGGGAGGGTTTCTTTTCAGGGGGACTACTTTTCGGTTGCCTTACCACAACTCCCGAGGCATAGGAAATTAAGAAATTGAAGCTATTCCCCAGTCTGGCTGTGGATAAGCCACTGACCAGCAACAGATCAGCCATCATTAACTTGACCCGATGCCTCCCCGAGAAGACACTTGTCTTCGTGTAATTTCGTAAACCGGCAAATATGACTTCGAGGCTGAAAATTATTTTGGAGGTGGTTAAATGAAATTGTGGTGAATTTTTTCTATCGAAGAAAATTGCCTCATTTGATAAGAAAGAAAAGAGGTCGAGGTGAATTTTTTTCTATAGAAAAAAATCGCCTCTGTTGGTAACTGAGGTCGAGGTGAATTTTGTTCTATAGAAAAAAATTACCTCAGTTGGTAACTGAGGTCGAGGTGAATTTTTTTCTATTGAAAAAAATTGCCTCAGGTGGTAACTGAGGTCGAGGTGAATTTTTTTCTATAGAAAAAAAATTATTTTTTTCTATAGAAAAAAAATTACCTCAGTTGGTAACTGAGGTCGTGGTGAATTGTTTTCTATTGAAAAAAATTACCTCAGTTGGTAACTGAGGTCGAGGTGATTTTTTTTTCTATAGAAAAAATTACCTCAGTTGGTAACTGAGGTCGAGGTGAATTTTTTTCTATAGAAAAAATTACCTCAGTTGGTAACTGAGGTCGAGATGAATTTTTTTCTATAGAAAAAATTACCTCAGTTGGTAACCGAGGTTGAGGTGAATTTTTTCTATAGAAAATATAGTGGTGAATACACTAACACTTACACATAATTTTTCATAGTTGGTCTAATGGCCGCCGGTATGCCCACTGTAACCAAGGCCAGCTCCAACGAATCCGCATCTTCTTCATTTGCTGCCTCCACCAGCTCAGCTGAAATTAAAATCTCTGCCCTAATGGTACCATTCAAGGATATTGGCAACCATCGTAGCGGAGGTGGAGATAGATTCTGTAAGGCCATGTATTTTTCCAAGGCATGTTTATGACCATCCATTTTATTTTCCAAATCTTGGTGCCTCTCCGCAGCTATAACTGTCACAGGGAGTATCCCACAACCCAAATAATCATCGGCAGTTCTACGATCCGTATCATATAATTCGATGGCAAGGAGAGGAGAATTGGTGTTACCATACCACTCGATCGGTCCTGGCAAGGTCACATTGTTCAGTGTTATGACCGCATTCCATATGGGTGAGAGGGTGGTAAAGAGTATTGGTGTCTCGGCTGCATGTGGACCAAACATTATCCGTACATAGGGATCACAGAGGCCATTACGATCTGATCCTGGTCGAATCTTGGCTTGATGTATGAATATACGACAGTTGTAGCGGGTAAAGGCCTTCAAAGGACGATAATAAAATGGCTCAGGGTTTGACCACTCCTGTTTGATTTTATTCAACAATAGGGAATGCTCCCGTTCAGTGGTTATGCTCAGGCAGCCAAGGAGAATGCCAGCAATGCAGCCACATTGCCGGCAGGTGTGGTGGCAATGTGAGTCCTGGGTGGAGCAGGAAGGGGGGTTACCTTGAAAAAAGGGGAATTTAAAATCGCCTACCTTGAAGACAAAATTTCGAACTTTCCAACATTGATTCCATGATCCTTCCTCCTCCCATTGTGATTCGGCAAAAATAAAGGATTTGGGATTAAGGCGGCAAAATCCGCACTCTTTATTACCGGCATGGAGTATCAAAACTAAATCTGGCCATTTATCTTGTAGACAAGTTACAGACAGTAGATTTTGAAGATCGATAATGTATTTTGAAAGGTCCTGCAGCACTTTTTCTATAGACTGTTCCATGACCTTGTCATCAGCCGGTTTAAGAGTTGAGCGTAAATTTCGTAAATCTTCGGAAAATTTTAGCTAATGGAGGAGAAGGTATCAAAAATTTATATCAAATCAGGAGGCTGATGATTTGAATAAGTTTTCCTCATGACCTTACCAGATAATCCTGCATATAAGATAAACATCTGACATCCCACTGTGTGGGTTCCTTGGGACCTCGATATTCCAGTCTATGTGAGTCCACAGAAGTCTTTATAAAATATAATAGCCTTGTGCAAATATATCTTAGTATCTTTAATTGAGCCTGACGATGTTCGCCATAGAGAACTTGGAATTGATGAAATTTGTCCAATTCCTGCTGGATGATATCCTTAAGTTCTTGAAAAAATTTGGCACTTTTATCCTTATGACGATAATCAGGTAATTGCAGACGCATCGTTATGGTCTTATAGGGTGACTCTTGTTGGAAATATTTCAAAGGTTTGGCAATTTTTGGACCTTTCTTGGCGGGATATGGCTTGAGGAAACATTCCACGGAATTTGAAGAGGCTTCTGAAATTATGAATAGGGAAAATTATTTTTCAAGGGATCCATATATGCGTGGATTTATATATATAAATATTTTTCCAAGGTCCTGCACAGGCGTGGAAAAATTTTTAAGGGGTCAAAAGAGGCCTTTAAAATCCTTTCAAACTATTTTTCAAGGGGTTTAAAAAGTTCTCTGAGGCCCTTTCAAAATTATTTTCAAGGGGTCTAAAAAGGCCTCTGAGATTTTTAAAACAATATTTTTCAAGGGCCCTGCACAGGCGTGGAAAATTTTCAAGGGGTCAAAAGAGGCCTTTGAAATCCTTTCAAAATATTTTTCAAGGGGTTAAAAAGGCCTCTGAGGCTCTTTCAAAATATTTTTCAATGGGTCTAAAGAGGCCTCTGAGGCCTTTAAAAATATTTTTTAACAAATCTACGCCTCTGAGGTCCTGCGAAACAATTTTTTTAAACAACCCTTTGAAAAATATTTTTATAACAATCCTTTGGACCTACCCGCCATCTTCATTTGAATTTTACAATTACTGACATTGCCATGCATAAATTCTCCTTGCAGTAGCAAAAACTCCACCAGAAACGATTCCTCTTGCCAATGGCGGGATTCATCCAATGGAGGTATGGATTTAATATTTAAATTCCTTGTGATTGGTGGAGATTCCAAACATTCAGAACGAATCTCAAATAATAGACGTCCAATATATTTGGTCGGAATAAGACTGTCATAGAAATGTATAAAACAGGGGCCCAAAAAGGGTTTATCTAGGGGGGAAATGAGAAACAAAATTTAAAAAAAATCCACGATCTTCCCTAGAAGTAAGGGTTCCGCTACCTTTGAAGGCTATGTCCTGAAAATGAATTTCGTATTCGGCCAGGCATTTCCATTGCAGCTGCTCCTGGGCCATTAACTGCAGCAGTAAAGTTTGGGATAGTGATGGATATATCCAGGCAAAATGGGCTTCCTGATTCCATACAGGATATTGGGTATTTTTGGCAAGCGAAGTTTTGCCTTTAAAGGGATGGAATCTAAACTTTGGAGAAAGTTTTTTTAGGGACGATTTTTTCAGAAAAAAAATAAAAAATCTACTTGCAAAAAATAATCCGATTTCTTGGCCATAATGCCACGATAAAATATCACACTATAGAGAATATTGCAACGCACCTCCGCCTCCACATTATCCAATAAATTTCTGGAAATTTTGAAAAAAAGAAAATCATATCAATTTCCATTTCAATTTTCAAAAACCCACTTTTCAATATTATCATAATCCTGATTAATTTGCCACACATTTGTGGTTACGCTCTGCATATCCTCCCCATCCTCTTCACCTGGCCTTAACAACGTCTGAGGATTCGTTGCCTGAGAAACAATGGCCAAATCAATTTGCAAATAACCCCGGGGACCATCGCCGTGATTTTCACTCTTTCCCTCTCTTTGGGAACCCTCACCCTCAATGGCAGCCTCCAAGCGTCCCCACTTCTTAAAGTAACAGCGATTGCCCTGATGCCAAACACTTTGCATGTCGACCAGTAGTTCTCCCAGGGTGGTATCTTTGCGGCATGGCGTTCGTCTTTTGACCTCATAGCGGATGGTCAAACGCAACAGTTCCACCAAAGTACATTTCAGCTCAAAGACAAAATACTTAAGGAAATCAAAATTACCATCGTTGGAATAATTTTTGCCCCGGGGACTTACCTCATTGAAATAGGGATTTTCCGAATTGGCAAAAACCTTGGTGTGGCGTGTTGTTTTGTTCAATGACACACGCACATAGATTTCACTTTGAAAGATGCCCAACTGTCTGGCCTTATGAATGGTGGTGCAAATCAAAAAATCCTGCGGTACATTGAGGAAGCAATTTTCCTGAGAGGGTAACATATTTCCAGTTTTTCTTTTTTTAATTTTTGAATTGCAACTGTCATCACAGTTTGAAAGTTTTCAAAGTTTTGGTAAAGTTTTATTACAAAATTAGAGCTTTTTGCATTCAAGCTCTTATGAGCAAAGCTTTACTATATGAGAAAATCCAATTTTTTTTTCGGAAAAAAGTATTAAAAAACATGTTCCTTTAAAAAATATTTTTTATACAAATCCGCTCTTGGTTTAGTCCTTTGAAAAATAGTTTTTAAAAAATCAAGACGTTTTTAGTTTTTAAAAAAATAAAAATGTCCACGCTTCTGTTAGTCTTTAAATAATATTATTTAAAAAATCCTAGCCTTTTAGATGGAATGCCCTTTGAAAAATGTGCTTTAGAAAATCCACGCCTCTTAGATGAAATGTCATTTGAAAAATATTAGTCCACGTCACTTGGGTGGAAGGTCCATTGAAAAATATTATTTAAATAATTATAGTCACTTGTTAATATTAAATTCGATTTTTTATTTATTTTAATAATATTTGTATTAATATTTATTTAATTTAAAGACATTTTCCCTTTAATTTCGTTGAAATTCGTTTAGTGATGGCTTTGTTAATATAAGCCCGCATATCACATGATCATGCTCTTAATGAATGTACCAGTTAAACCAGGGTGTTAATGCGATAACAATCAGTGAGAGAGAGAGCTTGTGAGAGAGTGATATTTATAAATACCACATTGCTTGAGAGTAATCATGCTTTTACGTGTCTTGTACAGCAAGAGAACAACAATGCAACGACATAGAGTCGTAAGACACGATTGTAAGGGCATGCAGCAACGAGCCTTGTCTAACCAACAACAATAATAACAGGCAAATAACAAAGGCAAATTTTTATTTTCTGTGCAATCAACAACAACACGCAATAATCATGCTTTGATGTGCCTTGTACAGCAAGAGAACAACAATGCAATGGGGGGATACAGGGAAAGAACGACTGTAGCTGTGTTGGCGACGAAGATCAACACAGAGTCGTAAGACACGATTGTAAGGGCATGCAGCGACGAGCCTTGCCTAGCCAACAACAATAACGACAGGCAAATAACAATGGCAAATTTCATATTCTATACAATCAACAACAACACTGTGGGATAGGAGAGCGCAATACTCCATTGAAAGAGTGTTGGGTGTTGTAATGGATCTCTCAACCAAACAAAATCATCTTCAAATAACATTGCTCTCATTATAATGAGGGGAATTAAAAGAGCCTAACATGACTGTGTGTTGAATGGAAAGATAACACACAATAAGAGGGGAAATCGTACTCCTCTCGACGATGAAGTAATTTCAAGAACAGCAACAAGAAACAATGTTTATTATGACATAACGTTAAATTACTTAGTTTTGCTTGCTATGGAAAATATAGTCCAGCCATCAGTTATATGTACCGTTTAATTTTTACTTTTTGGTAAATTAAACCAAACCTCAGTTTGGGCTCAGTATGGTTGAATGTTATTATAAATGAATTTTCCCCACTGTGTTCATATACATACTGTTAATGTTAACATGACACTGTTAACAACAATTGTTCATTTTAGGCACTCACATTTAGTGTCTATGATAAAAGCTCCACATATGTATTTCTGCTATAGGAATGTAATGGAAATGAAACGAAAAACTAGTTAAAGCTTAAATGTCCGTATGTGGAATGGATAGCATGCACAAAATAAATAAATTACAAATGTAAACAACCAACTGTTGATTTAACAGCTTTTTTGGTAATGTGAGGAAAAATGGAACATGCTTGTGATGAGGGATAAACATAGCAAAAAGTTTAGCCTTTAAACAAATCAACGCATATAATTAAAAAAAAAAAATCAAAAAATATTTTTTTTAAAAAAAAATTATTATATGTCAAAACAAATATTGTATGTAAATGTATTATATTTTTATATATTTAAAAAAAATGGTTTTTTATAAAAAAATATAAATAAATCAAAATTAAAATACCATATTTTTAATAAAAAAAATCGAAAAATTTTTTTTTAAAAAATCCAAATTTTCCAAAAAGAATTAAAAAAACCACGCTTATAATTTTTAACAAAAAAATCGCGCTTATGATTTTCAAATTTTTTTTTTTATAAATTTTTAAAAAATCAAAAATTTAAAAAAACCTGAAGTTATAATTTTTCTCAAAAATCGTTTTCAAATTTTTCAAAACAAAAATATTAAAAAAAAAATCATATATGTTTATATAGAATATAAATAAATATTTAGGCTTTTTTTAATTAAATAAACAAATACAAATCACAATATTTCCAAAAAAAATAAATTAAGTATACAACATGAGATATTCTTAAAACATTTTTAAAATATCCATAAAATATTCTTCATTACAAAATTTCCCCATTTGGTACAAAAATGCCACCATCCCCATTGCTGTGTCAACACTGTGGCATCCGTTGTTGGCTTTGCACTTCATGAAAAAAAATAACCTACATGGCTGGCTAGCACGCACAATACTGCTTCGTTTCGTTGTTCCATTTCCCATTTCATTCCTCATATGAATAGTTTTAAGTGTCGCTGCTGCGCTGCTACAGCAGCAGGTTGGGGGCTTTGCTTTTGCTGCCACTGCTGCTGCTGCTGTTGTTCCAGAGATGACTCCAAAACTACAGATAACACGAGCTTATTGTCAATACGATTTCGCTGCTGGTAGATGTTGGTTGGTTTGAGCGGTTAAATAAAACGGTGTGAAATTGAGAAGACGAAGAAAAAAGCAAACAAACAAACGGAAAAAAGAAAAGAAACAAGTTGTGAGTTATATTTAAATAAAATAACAACAACGAGTAAAATTAACGTGTATCGTATACGGTGTGTGTATGTGACGAGCTTCGCGCAAGTTTAATTCGAATAAAAAAAAACCCAAAGACGACGACTACGACAACATCGTTCGGCCATAAAACAAATTAAGATCAGTCCAATTGAAAAAATTGAATTGAACGGTTTTGTTTCTCGACAACGACGGGCGCGCGTTTTTTTTCATTTCTTTTCCATGTAAAACAAGTGGAACGTAAAACGGTTTACACGATTTTTGATCGACGGGTTACGTGCATTGGTTTTTACGTAGAGTGTGTCTGTGTGTGTGGAGTTGAAGAAATCAAACAATAATTGGAGTAATCAACTAAATGTCCAGCTTAAAAAAAACTATTGAGCCATTAATTCGAAAGGTAAACAAACATCACACGGTTTTATTGTTGTTGTTGTTATGATAATTACTTTGTGGCCTTTGTTTCGCCTGTTGAGGAGGACCACAATTCCCCCAAAAGGATTATTTGTTGTTGTCTTTGCTTTGTGTGAGTCTGTTTTCTTTTCCTTCCATCACAGTGAGAGCAAAATTGCTGGGAAATGTGTTTGCTTTGTTGAGAGATCCATTACAACTCCCAACACTCTTTCAATGGAGTATAACTCCAACAATTAGTGTTTGTTATTGTTGCTGGTATAGAAAATGAAATTTGCATTACCTGTTATTATTGTTGTTGGCTAGGCAAGGCTCGTTGTTGTGCTCGTCTGCTGCCTGTACATTACAATCGTGGCTTTCGACTCTTTGTGGCTCTTCGTCGCCAACACACCTACCATCGTTCGTTCTTTCAATGCATCCCCCCATTACATTGTTGTTTTCTTGTCGTGTAAAAGCAAATGGAAACATGATTCTGTTCATGCAATCTGGAATTTATTACTCTCACTCTCTCACGAGTTCTCTCACTGGTTTCTGTCACATTAACACCTGTGTGTAACTGGTCCATTCATGAAGAGCATGATCATTAAACGGACAGGCTCATAACAAAGGCATCATCAAATGAATTTAAACGAAATAAATGGAAAAACAATTGTATTAAAATTAAATAAATAATAAAAAATAAATTATAATTAAATAAATAAAAGAGTTTATAAATAATCAATAAAAATCAGATTTAATAATGCTTACAATTAAAACATTGGTGATATATGAAAGATAAATTGACATATAAACGGGAAACATTTGTGAAAAATGTCATTAATGTTGCAAAATGAGAACATAAAAAATAATTATGTAATAAAATATATATACATATATGTTTAAGAAAAAATAAACATAAAAAGAGAACACATTGTTAAAATATTAACCGCCAATTACACATTTTTGCAGATCAGCTGATTTTGACACACCGAGAGAGACAATCATAAAAGGATAAACAGAGTTACCAGGTAAGTTATTTTTAAATTAGACCTTATCAAGGCAAAATAATGGATTTTATATAATTTGTTTAAAGTAAAATTTTTACAGATAATGCATTTTTAAAAACCAAAAAAATGAAATATTTAAAATTAAATTGAATTAAGAACAAAAATAGATTTATTAAAAATATCCATTATGAATTTGAATTTTTCTATAGATTTTTAAACATTTATTTTAGGTTTTAAACGTTGATTTTATGCTTATTTTTATATTTGTTAAAAAATTAAAAAAATAGATTTTTTTTACTTTTTAAATATTTTTTTCAATTATAAGGTTGAATTGAAAAAATAATTATAAGCCTAGATTTTTTAAATTATTTATATTTTTATACCCTTTACCACACTGTGGTACAGGGTATTATGTCTTTGTGCATATGTTTGTAACAGGCAAAAGGAATCGAGATAGACCCATGGTTCCTTTTGAGAATATGCATAGAATCACTTTCTGAGTCGATTTACGCATGTCCGACCGGCCGTCCATGTATTTTTGTTAACATTTATGATCCGATTTGGATGAAATTTGGCACAGTTCACTTATTTGGTCCAAAGACGAACCCTATTGATATTTGAGAAAATCGGTTCAGATTTAGATATATCTCCCATATACAGTTTAGCCCGATTTGATGTAAATGGTGTACCAAACTCCCAATATTTGTTCGATTGGGACAAAATTGTGCACAGTACACTGAATCAGGTCCATGCTTATGTGTGCGGAGTTTTGTTAGAATCGGTTCAGATTTAGCTATAGTT